ATACAAGACTCCTCTAGCCTTGGCCTGTGAATCTCTCACGTCCCTCAGAAAAACCCTAATCTCGCCGCCGGCAAATGGGTTTCTTTCCGGTAAGCCACCGTTCTCCTCGTAAGCCGCTCTCAGCCGGCCGATCAAAGAATCTAGGCTTCCCCACGCCTGCTTTAACGGGCAGTTACACTGTCCTAATGGCTCTTGCTGTCCGAAGAACATGCATCCTTGGATATGAACTTTTGTTTTACCGAACTGGTCAAGGTATTTGAGGAAGTCGAAGATGTGGTTGGAGTCACACTCCGATATGTGAACTGGCGGCTTCTTGTTCCTGAGGTATTGACAAAACGTGTTCCAGTCGCGGCGTTTTTGTGACTCGTAGCGGCTTAGCGTCGGTGGATTCTCTAGCGTTGGAAGCGATTGCGGTTGCTGTTGAGATGATTCTTCTGCTATGCTTTTGCCTTTGTTTCTCGTATTTGTACTAGTCATATTGCTTCTACCGGTGGATTTTGTTGTTGATGATCGTTGCACTTACATGGCTCCTAAGAAATCTTGAATTTTGAGAGAGGAATTTAGAAGGACCAAACAAATTGTTGGTGTTGAAAGCAGAATAAGAAATTAAACAAAGTGGAATATAAATGATAAACAGATGGGGAGGTCTAGAAGAAAATCAAAATCCCACTAATCAAAGTGTGTAGATATTTAATGTCATTAAAACCATAAGTGGTAACGACTAAAGTTGTGTGTTTAACCACAAAAAAAAATAGGGGGTATAATCTCCTTGACTTACGAAGAATTTTCAAGTATTATAGTCCATGGAATAGAATCAGATGATTAGTTTGAATAAGAAGATTTTATTTTCTCAAGTGGCATATGAGTCTGTGAGGGAGACGTGAGATAGGGTCCACGAGTGCTCCTTTTTATTTGGCCTATCGCATTATTCTCTCCCATTTGATTAATCTGCACAATTAGCATTTAACTAGTGTTTTCATTACTTTATTTTCGTTTTCTTACCAGTTAAATTATATTTATGTTTCCATCAGGATCAGCTTAGCAATCATTCTCCGTGGAATATCGCTGACAAAAGAGAATGATAATATTGAAAAGGATATGTGAAATAATTTCTACTTAACTCTTCTATGTGCTTATGCAATGTTGAGAAGCTACCGATTTATAATCTTGATTTACAAGACAAGTTCTCTACCGATTTTAGTTTCTATATATCCAATTTTTTTTTTGAAAATCGGCCATTTTTTATCAACTTACTAAATATCATTTAAACTCTCAATATTTGATATAACCAATCGAGGTCTTAACATCTTTGATAAGTGTTCCAAGCAAAGGAGCAAGCAAACATTTTTTAGTTTTCTCTTTAAAGAAGAACTAAAAAATGTAATCTATAGTGTTAAGTGTTGTCTTTGTTCCCCGGATTCGTTTCTCCGGAGCCTAACTTCAAGACGAGCTCGTAAGTGTCATGATTAATTTGAGGATTGGATAAGGATTTATATAGAGGGTGTTAGTTATCGAATATTTTTCATACAACTATGCGTATGCGAGATCCTGTCACTGACGTGGAAAAAACAAGATGGGGTTAACTTTGTGGATTGGGAATGTCAAATAATTTGAATAGTGCATTATTTTGTTGATCACGTGTATGTTAAATTTAATAACTCACCTGGAAAACCATAAATAATCCGTTAATATTTTAAGAGTCGGACTACAAATGGATTGATAAAGTTTTTGTTCAAGTTAAAACTTATTTGACATCCTTTCCTCAACGCAGTTCAAGCTGATCAAATACATATATATAGGTTTATTCCATGTTCTAAAATGCGGCCGCGTTGGCTGCTTCCGCGTCGGAGCCGCCGCGATTATGAGATACCGGTCAAATAATCGGAAATTATAAAAAATATCGATTTTCTTTTCGTTTCAAGATAGAATTCAATAGGTATTTGATGGATCTAACCTATTTTGCTGTAAACAATCGAAAAAACAAGAAAATGTGATGAAAATTATGATAAAAAATGATTGACTTGGGCACATAAAAACTGATAAAAAAATGAAAATAGTGATAAATTTAAAACGCAGATTAACCATTTTGTGCGTTACACATATGATAATTTGCATGTATCCGCAATCTAAAATTACTACAAAAAAACATTCCAATTTTGACAATCAATTTGGTTTAAAATTGGTCAAAAACAGTTATTTCTGACTCGTACTTGACCAAAATCGATTCGTAAAAAATCGATGGTCGCAAATAAATTTTGGTCAGAAAATAGTCAAAACGTTTTGACCAATAAAAATGGTCAAGATTTTGGTTTTGACCAACAAAATGGTCAAAATTTTGATTATGACCAATAAAATCGTCAATTTTTTTATCAATCAAAATGGTCGGAACTATATATTTTGACCAATTTTAGACCATATATTCTAACAATTTTTTTGACCAACTTAGGTATTTAAATTTTAGAACTATATTTTAATCAATTCGAAAATATTGAAATTCAAATTTAAAATATTTGATTCATAATAATTAAAATAAAATTAAATATTTTAAAACAATTAAAATATAAAATATTTCAATAAAATGTATTCGAAAATATAAAAATTCAAATTTAAAATATTTGATTCATAATAGTTTCAGAATATCCACTCAATTAGCGAATAAAATATTTCAAAATTCAACTATTTGGGCGCTGAAACCCATTTACATTTTTCACAATGGAGTAAGTGTTATTTTATAGAGAAAGTCAGAGTTTCATCCCTCCCATATTGGCGATGTGGGACAAATACAAAGAGATGTTCTCCTCAATATTTGGTCGATAATGTTGTGACCAATTTCTGTCAAAAATTAATCACGAAGTTTCGACCAAATTATGTTTTAGTCGATAAATGGTAAGAATATTTTGACTATTTACTGACCACTTGTATTAGTAAAAAAAGTTTGATCATATTTTGACGAGTTTAAATATTCATAATTTTTTGGTCGAAAATTTGTCAAAAAAATTTTTTGACCATTTTATTGGTAAAAAATTAACGTGTTTTATTGACCAATTTTCAACCAATCTTCTTTGTCGCAAGTTTTCGACCATTTTTTTGACAAATTTACGAATCCGTTAAAAACTGGTCGAAAAATTTCGACCAATTTTTGACTCTTATATTTCATCATATTTTCTTGACCAATTTATAACGAAAATAAACTTTCGTCTAAAATTGGTCGAAAATGGTCAAAATGGTTTTGACAAAAAAAATGTTGGTCAAAAATTGATATATTTTTTGAATATACAATTCATTATAGCGCGAGTAATATAAATACAATCGTATCCCAAACCACATGTGTGACGTCGTTTAGTACGGCTTAAGAAATTACACAAGCATACAAATTGTCATAGAATATAAACATTGAGACTTTACTAAATTAAGCCGTTTTGACTTCTTTAATTCATTTTACATATTTTTATACTAAATCTTGCATTATAAGTACGTCCGCTTAATTCCATATGTGTCTATCTAAATCTTAGCATCACATTTTCTTATTCTACTTTCTCTATATCTTCTCATCTCCCTCGTCCGGCCACAAGTTCCTCCGTTGGAGCAATTCCGGTTCCTAAACAACGGAGACTTTGGAGAATCCACTGTGGAGTAGTACGGCGCAAGCTACAGAGAGTTAGGTGTAGTTCGTAACCAATTCCGTCTTTGTTTCTTTAATACCACGCCAAATGCATTCACACTCGCCATCGGGATGGGAACAGGCTACGAAGTTCTGATTCCATCATTCGTTGGGTATGGCAGGCTAACCCGCAAAACCCCGTTCAAGAAGAAGCTTCTCTTTCATTTGGACTATGAGGGAAACCTTGTTTTGGCTCAGCCAGATGGCAAAGTCGTCTGGCAGACCAAAACGGAAAACAAATTAAAGGCGTTATTGGTTTAACTATGAATGAAAATGGCAATCTTGTGTTGTTTGATGATGGAGGATAGCCCGTCTGGCAAAGCTTTGATTTCCCGAGCGATACGATCTTGGTTGGTCAGTCTCTCACACTTGAAGGCCAGAACAAGCTCGTAAGCCGCGACATTGGGTCTTATACTCTTACATTAGAGCCGGACCGACTCGTTCTAAGCCATTTAATCCCTCGGAGTAACAGCAAATCTCTTGTGTATTACGTTATAGAAGGTCGGTTTATCCCAAGCACAACCTTTTATGCGGCCTTAGGCCTGAGTTTCCTTATAAGCATTTTCTCGCGAGGCCTAGATTCAACGCCTCGCAAAGTTTCCTCAGGCTCGACGCTGATGGAAATCTTAGGATCTACTCTTACGATTTCAAGGTCAGTTTTCTTGTTTGGGAAGTAACGTTCGAGCTCTTTAACCGTGACAACAGCGAGTGCTGGTTACCGTCAAAATGCGGAGAGTTTGGGCTTTGTGAGGATAATCAATGTGTGGCTTGTCCGTCCGAGAATGGCTTACTTGGTTGGAGCAAAGCTTGTAGGCCGAAGAAGGTGAAGAGTTGTGATCCGTAACACTTTTCATTATTATAGACTTGGAGGTGTGGACCATTTCATGACTTAAGTATAACGTTGGTCTTGCTGTTGGAGAGCGTAAGTGTCGTGGTTTGTGTAGTCGAGACTGTAAATGTTTGGGGTATTTTTACGATAAGAGTAGCTTTAAGTGTTGGATTGGCTATGAACTTGGGACTTTAGTCAAAGTGTCTGATTCTAAAAAAATGGCTTATATCAAAACCCCTAAAAATGTTTGATCAGTATATATCGACTTGTTAATATATGTTAATAAATGTCAAGTTGGTTTCCCTTCTTGAATTTTATTTCTCTTGTATTTCCTTTCCTTTTTAATTTATCTTCCCTAATGTAAAAGCTCTCTAATAAGTTGTAAACAACAATGGAAATTTCAGAAAATGGTATAAATTTAACATTTAACCCAAAAAAAAAAAATGTCAAGTTGGTTCTTAATGTCGCATTTTTATTTTTGTTTGAAAAAACAAGTATAAAGAGTTGTATTGTAGGCCCATGAAAAAGCCCATTGCAACTTCCCAGCTTGACCCTCTAATTCGATCAGATACTTTTCATAAAGCTTTTGTCGTTGCTTCGTCGAGAAGAGAGTTTCGTTTTGCAATCTGCATTTTCACACGGGAAATCCTCAAAGCTCGATGGATCTAACTACGCGCCAGAGGCGTCCA